TTTGTACCAAAATAAATCTAACCTACCACAAGTCGTCAGTAATGTCTTAGGTGTTCATCCAACTGATTTGGAAACCTGGTCCCCCACAAAAACCTGCATAAGCACAAATGTTTAGAACAGCCTTACTTATGGGCCCTCCCTGGTGCTGCAGCGGGTTAAAGCACAGCACGAAGAAGCTAAAGCCACTTCAGCATGAGTTCGATCCCTGCCCTGGAGGTGACCACATGGTGTGGCAGACCTCTCCTGACTCGCCTGCTGCTCCCCTCAGCAGTGTACTTCATCAGTTCGCCTGTTCTGCTCCCCACTCTGTCTTTGGTGAATCCTCTCACGGGCCCCTGCACCTCTGGCCTGTACCCCAGTTCTATATGTATATATAAATAAATGAATCTTTAAAAAAAATTGGTTTTTTTCTTATTCCGGTTTTTTTTTTAAAGATCCAACCTAGATGTCAATAAGTGAATGAATGATAAGCTGTGATATAGCCATATCATGTTATTTAGCAGTAAAATGAGATACAGAGTCACAGAAAGCATACTGTTGTGAGAGAAGCCAATCATGACACCAGAAAACGCCAATGATCTGCCATTCTGAGTTTGACACCTTAGGTCATGTGGACTTTCAGACATATTACAGTCTGGAAAAAACAAAACTAAAGAGATGGTAGAGATGATTGCCCGGGTTTAGTGGGTAGGGGTGTTGGAGGTTGAAATAGATTTTTTGGGTTGGCGAATCTATTCTGTATGGTACCATAATGGTGAATGCAAGGTATTACACAATTATTAAAAACTATAGAATTTTATAGCGCAGAGTAATTCTTAGTGTATGTACATAAAAAAATCACTTGGGGGTCAGGGAATGGGATATAAATGTAGAAAAATAATCTAAATTTATTACAAATGTATAAAAAAAACTTTCTGTGGGGGTAAGGGTGAGGTGTTGACCCATGTAACCTTAGGAATTGCGTCTGTCAGACTAAAAGCTGCAGTAACTATTGGTTAGGCACTGTTTCCTAGTTGATAATGGTGTTTCCCACAGCGCTAAGGGTTTCTGAAACCACTATATATATATACTGGAATTGAACAATTAAGTAAATGGATGGTTGGTGCTGGGAGTCAGGTTTTCATAGGACTAGATTACAGAATCAGAAGTCAGAATGATCCAAGTGGTGGAGGATTAGAGTTCAGAACTCAAGCTTAGTTTAATATATTTTTCTGTAGTAATCACACACACACACACACACACACACACACACACACACACACACACACACACCCTTGCTTTGTCAGCTGAGACCACCTAGAAGCAATAACACCCCTGCAGCAATGACCACCTGGCACCCCAATCCTGATTCCCAATACCATTCTCCAATAAAAGGAACAAGGGCTCCTTTGAAAAATGGGCGATTCAAAAGTTGGGGCAGGAGATACACAAAGTGGTCAGCACATCTTAACTGAAGATGTAAAAAAGTGCTTGAACCAGAACAAAATGAACAAAGCTTCACAGTTATGTCCCATGGATAAGGGTGTCAATGGAAATATTTCCCGATGGCATTTTGTGGACAGACATCAGGGATATTTATTGCTAAATCCTACGAAACTCAGGACAGTTCTCCACAACTGAGGAGACCCACTGTGTCAATGGCTGAAGTTGAGAAACCCTTATCTAACGTATCCCCACCCTCTGCCAGTGAGAGATTTGCATTTCAGGTCTGACCCAGGCCTCTTGTGGGGCATACCTATCAGCTTCATAGCTTCCTGTAAAGTATTTTCCTGTATTTGGGGAAATTCCAATAAATCTTGCCTTCTCAAGGAAAAAGACCCCAAATCACTGTCTCTCTTGCAGCCATGCAGGCACAGGGCCACGGCTCTCTCAAACAGCTGCATTCCTACGTTTCAGAAGCAAGCAAGGTGAGAAAACAGGCTTTTTGGGAAGCAAGATATTTTGCTGGTGCAGAAGGCTGCAAAAGAGTGTGGCATGATGTCGGAGACCAGCTCCAACTATTGAGGTGTCTGGAGGCAAGACAGGCAGGACCCTAAGGTGGGAAGGCATCGGTGAGCAGAGATTCTCAGTACTCAAGTCACTTGACTTCAGGGGAATTTTTCACCCTGGTGCAGTGCTTGCTTGTCAAGGCAGGAAGGCCTTATGCAGCTGAGGCAATCCAATTGTAAGCTGAAAGTTGCTCAGAATATTTTGATATTATGATTATACAAAAAAGGAGGTCATAACATAAGTTAGCATGGAAAGTCTGATTTTTCAGAGCAATTCCCCTCCATCTGGACCGTGTCTGACGACAGAGGTTGCATAGCTTGTGTCAGCATGAAGACAGCAGCTGCTCCCCACTGGCAGCGGTGACAGCAGTCTCCTCACAACTGTATGGGGTGAGGCAGCCCAGCAATCTGTTGTGGGGGTTTCCTCATCAGGCCAGTTCTTCAGCATAGTTCTGAGCTTCATTCCTGGAAGCTTGGCCTGCAGCCACCTCTTCAGTTCTCTCCAGAAGCCCCTGACTATGCAATAGCTTAATGTTCCTTTTGTGTTTAGTCAGTCAGTTTCTATAGGTCAATGCTAAGAACCCTGATAAAGACCTCCCGACTTTTCTCCAGTGGCTTCCCACATATTCTAGCATGTGTCCATTCTTTGTTCGGCTAAAGGCTCTTCTTTATCTGGATGCACCCACTTAGTCCTTCTGCTGGATACAATGACCACCCTTGTGGTGCCGGGGCCACTCATCTTCAATCGCGTTTTGCTTGCTAAGAATGAACCCTACCGGCCCTCCTAAGCCCAGGACTGCTCGTATCCCTGTCATAAACACACCTTTTTGGCTCCACTGTAAGGGCTGACCCACTGACCTGAGATATCTGTGGGTGGGAATGTGCCTTTCCAGCGTTTGCATCTCCAGCACTTAGGATAATTATCTGCACAAGGGAGGTGATCAGTTCCTGTTAATGGGGTGAAGCTCAGGATTTGGCTAAGTACTGCCACCTACTGGGAGGAACTTGGTTCAGCTCAAAAATTTGGGGAACATGAGAAACAGAAAATCAATCTTGATGACAGTCTCTCCCTCATCTAAGTCAGTGTGGTTGTTGTACCCTCTATGGTGCCCAGCCTCCAAGATGGTCTCCAGTGACGCCTGCCTCTTGGTATTCATTCCTTTGGGTTAGTCCTCTTGGTATACATACTTTGGGTTGATCCTCCCACACTTAAGGATCGATTCTTGACCAACAGAATAGGACGGGGGATGTGGCTTCTGATGCTCGACACTAAGAGAACTGTGTCTTCTGCCCTGGTAGTTCTCGGATCTCTGGCTGAGGGAAACTATACGCCATGTCATGGGAACATCCAAGTCGCCCTATGGGTATTATGGTGAGGCCCAAACAGCTCATACCGTCCAACAAAGTTCCGGTATGCGGGGTGCCCCTGAAAAGTCAGGGACCTTGGAGCTGGTTCCTACTGGATCGCTTTGTTTTGTTTTGGCCACTTCTGTAATTACAGCCATTTTTACATTTAGATACATTTGATGAAGTAAAAATTGATTTTACATTTGGCTGTTTTAATAAAAGCAACTGACTATTACTGTAAAGTTAATATAACAAAATAAGACAGTGCTAATAACATAATAACATATTTCTGTCCAAACCAAAAATTCAAACTCCCTCATTCCACTATCTTCCAGATGTACACATTAAATTAAACTCCAGAGGAAATAACTTTGGGAACCAGGAAGCTTAAGCCTTTGTTGTTCGGCCTTCAACTCTACCTCTCTTAATGTTAGAACTGAGTACAGTAAATTTTTTCATTCCTTACCTTGGCTTTGTTTTAATTTTGTTAGGGAAATGAGGATCCTTAGTAACTAGGGATAAAAAAAAAATCTTTCCTTTTGTTTTGCTAACTTTTTATTATAATATAAATAGAAGTACTCGTTATAGCTATATGAATTCATCTGCCAGCTTTATCATTAGTAAATTGTTTGCCCAGCTGCAAAAAGATAATCATAATAACATTTTGCTTGTTAACTGTGTTTTCCTTATAAACTGATAAGTGTTATGATCTTGACTAGAGATCAAAAGACTTCAAACTGTTCTTGGGAAAATGTGATAGTTGTTATTATTATTATTTTTTTACGCAGTACATATGCTGGCGTAATCCCACTGCTTACTAACATAAAAATAATAAAGATTTGCTGAGACTGTCAACAGACGACACTTGCACCTGAACGAGTGTTCGCGTCCGTCATTCATCTTCACCGACACCGACGCAGTCATTTCCTACAGGTACCTCTGTCACCCCAATTGATGGAGTTGGTCTCCGACAATAGTCCATATAGTGCAGTGGGTAGTTCACACAGTGCACACCGAAGCCTCTTGCCAACAGCCCTGAGTGAGCCATCTGGAAGCAGACCTTCGCCGGTGTCAAGACTCAGATAACTGCACCTGCGTCTCAATCTTGTCTGTAATCCCAGCCCAGCCCACTGTGCCCCCAGTCCTAACCGATAAGCGAACCCGTGGGATATTAAATGTTGCTTGGGGGTGGTCGTTATGCAGTCACAGATTACTAGGACATTTTCCGCACCCGTTCACTGGCTAGCTGCGCGCAGTTCCACATTTTGCGGTCACAGAAGGAAACTACCAGCGTCTGGGCCACTAAGGCTTTTCAGAGCAGAAGGGGGAAATGGGGTAAAACCTGGCACACCGGGCCTTGGGGAGGGGCGCGCGGCACGGTCCGCGGCATCCTTCTCCGCACTCGCGTTGTCCGCGAACACCTGCAAGGAGGTGCGGACACCGCAGCCACGCAGGACCCGCGACACTCCCGCGGCCACGAGCAGACTCTGCGCCTGCGCAGTGCGCTCCGCGCCCCAGGCGGCGCCGTTGAGCACCGAGTCATCGATCGCAAGTTTCCCCTGCGGCCTGGCTGGGAGCCGGACGCCCGCGGACCGCTAGCGGGGTGGGCACCAGGGGGCGCCCTCAGCAGCGGGGCGGAGCGCTCAAGTTCCGGAGAAGCGGCGCCGGGCGACCGCCGGGGCGGGGCCTTCCCTCCGTTTCACCTCAGCCACCCCCCGACTGCGGAAGTCGCCGCTCCCGGGCCGCCGCGGCCTCAGGCGGGAGCTGCCGGGCCGCACCGTCGTCGCCTCGGGGTCCAGCCCCCTGACTCCCCCACCCCGCCGCCGCCATGAAGCTGCGGGTCCGCCTTCAGAAGCGGACCGGGCCGCTGGAGATTCCCGACGCCGAGCCGACGCTGGGGCAGCTGCGCGCGCAACTGAGCCAGGCCCTGCTGCCCACCTGGGGGTACAGGTAGGCGGCCGCCTAGGGGCCCCGCGGCGATCGGGGGCGCGGACCCGCCCCGGGGCGTCACGTGAG